TTAGACCCATCCTAAAACTGATCATCTATGAGCCTGTATTTTTCTGGCTCCTTATAGCTGGATTCCACTTGTGTTTGTCACATGACACAGCCCCTTGTCCCAAGCCCGGGCAGCTTTGTGTTCCCTGGCATGTTTCTACCTCCATAGGTTTGTCACTGGCTTCCCTTTCCTGCCTTGCATTTTTTCCTCCATATACTATTTGGAAACCAGAGAGTGCTGTGCCAGGGCTTAGCACATTTCCCAGTGGGTGTGCACTGGCTCGCAGGGATGAGAGGGCGCCCATTGTTTGGGACTGTTATGGTTTATATCTAAATGTCCCCCAAAGCCCCACAGGCTCCTAGACAAGGCTTTTGGAAGGTAAATGAGCTTAGGGATGCTACAGCTCAGTTGGTATTCGGAGGTGGGGCCTCCTCAGGGGAGGCAGGTCACTGGACACATGGCTTAGAAGGCTGTCTGTCCCTCTCCTCCTCTTCTACTTCCTGGCTGCCATGATGTGAGCCACTTTCCTCCACCCAGGCCCTTCCGCCATGCCTTTCTGCTTTGCAGCCAGGCGACTGTGGACTAAAAATGTGAGCTGAAGTAAACCTCACCTCCTTTAAATGGTGGGTTTTGGTATCTGCCCCAGCAGCCAGTGATCAACACAGGAGCCTATGTAAATACACTCAGGATCCTGGAAGCAGGAAAATGTACATAGATCTGGGCAACAATATTCCTATGGGGTATGCATCTTGTGAACTATCTTCTCCCTATGTTAATAAGGGCAACAAGAGCATAGATGATTTAAACAAGCAGATGCTCACAAAGGCAAACTGAACACCATCTTTGAAAGTACAGTCTAGTTTCTGCTTACTGTCTCTGCACCATTCTGAAAGGATTTTTTTTTTTGTCTTTTTCCTTTTTATCGGTACCAGGGATCGAACTCACGACTGCCTGCTTGCAAGGCAGGTGCTTATGCCACTGAGCTAAATCCCCAGCCCCGGCTAAACCCCAGCCCCCCCTGCACCATTCTGTAGTAGGCCATGTGACTAGTGACAGTGGTGGCAGTGGCTGAGGGGCATCGAGCAGAAGGCTGGAAGCAGGTTTGCATGGCTTGTGGAATACCTGGTGACCAAAATGCTCAGTGTGTGATGGTGACTCAGTTTCTGCAGACCAGAAATCAGTGGATGAGGAGAGCTTTCTTCTCGCTCTCAGGTCTTACCTTGAGGAGGTTGACTTTCTGCAGCTGATTGTTTTGGGGAAGTCTAGGTAAAAGCCCTTCATCATGGTGAGTTAAGGCAGTTACGCAACATGTTGATTCTTGAGGGTAAAAGACCCAGAAAAAGGGAACCAGAAAGGAAAGGTTTTGTCCTCAGCTGTGCCCATGCCTTAGAATCCTCTAATTTCACAAACTTGTTGCCCTGGTCCTTCCAGCCACTTTCAAACCTTTACAAGTACATCCTAATCCACCCAGTGTGGCCAAGCTGCTCAGAGCTGATGCAGTGTTCTTTCATTCTGTGCTTGGGCAGCTGTGCAGTTTAGCAGCTCTCATTGCATGAAACTTATAAGTAGGCTTCTGAAAAGCTGTAGGAACCAACTTTCATTTGAAATAAGACCACCCCTATAGTCAGAGAATAGTTAAAAGTGCTCCAATGCCAAACTGCCTGGGTTCAAATGCTAGCACTAGCTGTATGATCTTAATTTCTCTGTGCCTCTATTTCCTCATCTGTAATAGGAAAATATTAATCCCATCTACCTTATAGGATTTGGGGAGAATTAAGAGCTTAGTATATAGTGCCTGGTACTCAGCAAAGACTATGTAATAGTTTGCTAATGTTTTTCTATGTATCAGCCTATGTATCGTGGGTATTGACACTGTACTGTTGGATTCATGACAAAATGGCTCAAAAATCATCAGGCTGTTCCACATGTGTAAGGAATACACAGTACATACTCAGCAGGATCCAAAAACCATCACTTTGAAATTTAATGGCATTAGTGAAATTGCTGCTAAGCCTCTGAGTTAATGAAGATGCTTTTCTGGGGTCCTGAGCTCCCAATGCACATGGACATGTTTTGGGCTCTTCACAGATCTGCCTTCTTAGTTCAGGGATCCAAGACACATCACAATCCCCCAGCAAAGGGCGATGTTCAGGACGCTTTGGTTATGGTGTGAGAAGCCTCCTTAGAAGAACAGTAACCGAAGGAGAATGAGAACGAGGGTAAGAAAGCTTCTTGTTTCGCTTTCTTAATCCCTGTTGGCTACTAGGAAACCCAGGGCCATGCCAGGAGCCCCTGGGGACTGCCAAGGCTCCCTGGGGCTGGGATTTGGAGGTGTGTGGACAGAAAGCCTGCGGCTACCCCTGCATGGCATTCATGCACCTTCTGCATGGGAGCCCCCAGGAGTGCCTATCAGTTTTCAGGGAGTACCACTATCTCAATTCTGCCCAGATCTAAAGATCAAATCCCTCTGCACCCTCTGACATAGGCAGGCCTCAAGGAAGGGTTGGGCTGAGCAGAAACCCATGGTCCGCAGCAGCCTGAAACTTGCTGGGAGTCACAGGCTAGAGCAAGGCTGTGGTCTGACAAGCAGGAAGCAGAATGCACAACAGCCCTGCACCTGCCAAAGCAGCGAATGGGGCCTCATCTTATCTATGGCATCCCCTGACCCTCACGGAGTGAGCTAAATGCCACTCTTTATTCATTGGTCAATCAGTTGACTTTGTGACAGGTAAGTGTTGTAAGTGTGACTGCAGAGAAAGAACAGGTGAGAGGCAAGAACGGGGTACAGGAGTCAAATGTTAGGGGTTTATGAATAAAAAATAGCACATTCATCTCCCCTCTCCTCGGCCCACACAGGGCTGTCTTCTCACAAAAGCTACACAGAGGAAGGGCGAGTCCTTTCTTTATGTGGTGCTGACCTCTAGAGGCTTCCAATTAAAAAGCATCCCATAGGAGCACTTCAATTTCACGGCTGTTTACATCCCCGGTTGTTGAAGCATTTCCCTAGAAAATAAAAGGAGGAATCTCCTTGCTACTTTAAACACTCCCTGGTAGGACATTCCTGCCTTATTATTTGGCTGCCTAACTAACACTTGCCCAGATTTTTTAAACTGTCAGTTTCTAGTGCAAAAAGGGAATAAAGCTGGGTCTTAGATAGGTACAAAGTATTTCAGAGGCTTTCTACCTGCTATGAGACTAAGAGAAAAGTATAATGCAATGCCCCGTTTCAGGATGCAGTTCTCCAGTTTCCAGACTACCAGATGGGCGGGGATGCCACATGGAGAAAGGAATGTCTGTTCACCCCAATTCGGCAGGGCACTAGGCAAAACTATTGCCCTGGCCTCCTGTACACTATACCAAGTCTACCTGGTCCAGCCCTGGTATAGGCCTGAGCCCTGGAAGTGGGGACTGTTGGTCCCTTGTGTGGTACACCTACCCGTGTGTGTGGAATGACCCCTGGAGACAGCGCTGACTCCCATCCAGCCTGAGCTCACTATGAAATGAGATTGTTCATTAGATCTCTAAGGAAGGGAGCTTGTAGTCCTCATTAATGACAGGCAGGGTGCAGTCAGGTGGTGCTGCACACCTGTCACCCCAGCACTGTGGGAGGTTGAGCTAAGGGGACTACAAGTTTGAGCCCAGCCTGGGCAACTTAGGGAGACTGTCTCAAAAAATAAAGTACTAGGGATGTAGCTCAGTGCAAAACCCCTGGGTTCAATAGCCAATACTGCAAACAGAATAGAGTAGGAAAGCAAAAAACAATCAAAAAACCCACTAAGGGCCCACTGGCATTTTGGCTACTGTACATCTACATTACTGGCTGGGATCCTTTCTAAAACGAATCGTAGGTTGTAGCCTGACAGCAGCTTGCCAATGCCAATGCCTGCCTAGGACTCTGCTTTCCACCCGCCTGACTGGCTCCAAGGTCAAGGCACTGCCAACACCACTGCTGAACAGAATGCAGACAGGACTCCTCAAGCTTACTCTTACTGATGAGGAAACAAAGGCTGGGGATACACCTAGGGTCACACAGACCATCATGGACAAGTCTGGGCTCAAACCTTTTCTTCCTCCCAGCTGATTTCAGAATGATTAACAAATGTGGGCTTTTTGAGGCAGAATCTTGCTGTGGTGCCCAGGATAATCTTGGAACTCCTGAGCTCAAGAAGTCCTGCTGCTTCTGCCTCCTGAGAGCTGGGACTAATGCACCTGACTTGGCATGTGGATACATCTAATGCCTAAGATTGTATGACATGTAAGTTACATCACGGGATATACCTATTAAGGGTGAATGAGTCACAGGAACAAGGGAGCCCTCCCACAAGGAAGGTTTTGTCTGTAGCACCCTGCTACAGTCACTATGGGGCCAGAGCTTTGGGGTGAGTACACCAGTCCAGAGCTTAGTTAAAATTACGGACAGCGGCCACACTGAAAACAAAAAACTCCAAGTTATTCAAAACACACACACACACACGTGCGCGCGCCTCTGTCTTGTGCCTATTAAGCTGCTCTCAAATCTAATTTCATAATCCTTGGAGACCCATTCATTTGAAGACACGAACTTGCTCCTAATGAAACAGTGGAACTTACCACTTTCAAATCTATTATTTAAATGCCATTGTGCAGTACATTACAACAACTGGGAGGAAAGGAGTCAGGCAATGGTGTCGTGTCATCACAGGGTGGTCACACGATAAGGATTTCTAATTGTGCCACAAAAGAGTCCTAACTGGGTTAGAAAAAAAGAAGTTCTCTTATACAAAACTAAAGTACTAGTTCAAAAGAGGAGTGGAAAATTACTAAACACTAGCTACTATGTCAGGAGAGACCTCAAAATGCACAAATCATTAACCTTTGAATGTGTATCAGTGTTGGAGGTAATGGCCTCCTGTCTTCCCCTGCTCCCAGGTGTCCTGCCACCCCCACTGATGGTCCTGGCTGAGCGTTTATAAGTCACATCAGGTGTCCTGCAGCACCAGACTGTTGTGGAGAAAGTAAACAAGAGGCAAATACCACCAGGATTTGGAAGGCTCTTTAATAGCAAGCGGATGGTAATTACAGTGTTGGATGAGCTCCTGCTCTCCCGGGAAGGGAGGAGGGAGCAGATGGGGACGGGGGCAAGAGAGGATTTATAGGGTTTGAGGCATCTAACAAAGGGCAACAGTTTTTGGCAACCCATTTCACAGTTTTCTAATTTACAAGAGATTTGTTTTAAAGGAAATATAAAAGCAAAGAAAGAACACACATCCTACAGGAAACACTTCTTGCCTAAAACAACAACAACAACGAAGCAAAAAACAAACCAAAACCCCATTCCTTCCTTTTTCGCTTCTTGTGTAGGTGGCTACATTTTGCTTTTGATGCACAGATCAGGACTGGATCACAGAGTGTGTCAGGTTTGTCTAACACTGAAGATCTACTTCCTCCTCTAAGAAACTGACATTTTGCCATCCTGCATCTTTATAGTACCTGGTGAAAAAATGAATCTTGAGAAACAAAAACAAAACAAAGCATAACACCCAGGGAAAAGTAGTTTATCAAGAACAGACTGCCAACGTCTTCCAGTACCGAACAACTCAACTAAATGTTCATTTGTATGTGGCCTGGGACACACTTTTAACTGCTTATGCCTTACAGTGCTTTAAATCAGATTCTTACCATGAAATAGTCACTGCTATAGAGACCACAGGTTATAGGCATTCTGGCGAGTTTTAGAATTATTCTGTATAAAATCTAAAAGAGCACAGCTTATTGTGTCACACGTGTTATCAGAAGGCCAAGATAACTGAGTGAGTCGTTATGAAAGAGGATTATTTTTAATGCAAAAAAAGAAAAAAAAAAAAAAACCCTTAGGCTTCTCTAAAGAGGAAGCAACCAGCAACAGCCTCTCTTGGAGCTGGCTCACCCTTGGGAAGAAGCAACCTATCCCAGCTGGAGTTGTCCTTGTGTTTCCTCTGCAACCTGGAGCAGGTGGGGAAGGTGGGCCACCTTGCATGCCCTCACCATGGCCCTTCCTGGATCTACCAGCTCTCCAGAAAGCCAGGCTTCTCTGGCTGGCAGCTGGGTTCCTTCAAGAAAGGAGTCCACCAGATGTGCAGGACATCTGCTGTGTCCCTGGCTGGGGGGTGTTTTTAAAGCCACAAACCCACTGCCAACATCTTCTCAACACTCTCTCTCTGAGCAAAGAAGGCCCCTAGAGACAGACATGGAAAGTTTTCCTATGCTTCACATGGTGACTGATGACTGGTTTTTATTTTTGTGTTTCACAAGTCAGACCTGACTTTAAGACTTAACTTTCCTCCCACCCCAGTTCATCTCCTCACACCCAAATTAAATCCTATGTATTCTGACATCCCCCTCACTATGGGATATCAGATTTGTGCCAGTTTTTCAACCCATGAATTTTTAACATGCAAAGCAGGTTCCTAAAATACAAATTGCAGTGACACACTGAGGTCACAGCTCCCCTAGGACCATACACTTTGTGCTCTCATGAAACAGAAACTATATTCAGAGACGTGTATTGTGCTAGAGAACAGTTTCTATTTATACACAATGCCGGTCACTACTAAAGGAGAGAAGTTTCCACTTAAGTACACTAGACACCCAAATCGGGCACCAGGACACAAGAATAGCCCTGCATAATGAACTTTCTGTGTTCTAGTTATGAAAAAAAATGTACCATGTGTTGCTGTGGCCTGGACGACACACACGGAGTGGAGCCTCTGTGTAGCAGAACTCGTGGCGGTGCCAGGCACCACATGGGCTTTGCCTCTCTCCCTGGCTCCAAAATCCACTGATTCCCTGAAGCCTGCACAACGTGACCACTGGGCAGAGCAAAGGAGCCAGGCCACAAGAGCATCTGCACGGCTCACCGACATCCAGGACCATGGCTCTGTAGTGTGATCACAAGCATGATTCCAAATGTCACAGCTGGCCACACGATAAGCCAGCCATTGATGGCACCTCATTCTCTCTCATACCACCTCATTCTCACACGCCCACGGGCTCCCTGACTTTACTTTCACTGTCACTTTCTCTCTCTTGAATGACAGGACAAGAAAGTCAAAATATTTATCTTGTTATTCTCTTCCAGCTAGTCTCATGCACATTTCCCCCCACCCCAGTTAGCATACCCAAAGCCCCCAGTGTCAGGTGTCAGGGCACCAGGCGAAGCTCTACCTTCTGCAAATGGAACAAGGATGGTCAAGACAAGTACATCCTCTGGGGCTTCACTTCACCTTCTTGGAGGGAGAAAAGCAGACTGGCTGCACTGCCTGGGTGCAGTCTAGACTCCTTTGTTGGATGCTCACAGGCCAACATATTCTAAGTGGGGCTGGTGGCCATCATCCTTTGCCAAGACAGCATCTTTGGCAAGATTCCAAACACACATCCTTCTCCTGGTCCTAACTGCCCGTGACTGTTACCCCTACGCACATGTACTTCCTAAGGCAGGTGCAGAAGCAGTGTTTAATGCTGGAAGAACAGAGAGCACTGATGCAGAGTCCAGTGAAAGGACTCGTCATGGTCCTACAGACAATAGCAGAGTCAAACTAAGACCCAGCTGCCCTGCATACTCCAAGAGATACTCCTCCCATACCATTGCTGCCTCCTGGTAAGTGACTCTGATGTGGATCTTTAGGGAAGGTCATGAACTTGTCCCAGCTCAAAACAACCCACAGGCTGCCAATCTCATTCACCTCACGTGCTGGTCTTGCTTCAAAGCTCCAAAAAAAGTAGCCAGAATGGCAGGTGTGAGTGTGAGTGTCTGTGAGAATGGGAGCACTAGGAGAACCCTGCACACTATTAAAGAAAGGAAGTTGAAAGGAAACAATTTGATTTGCTAATGCCTTTGGGGTTCTGCCATGGAAAGTAAGTCCCATCCAGGGTTGCTCTCTCCTAGCCCTGGGGTGGAACAAAGCCCGCAGTTCTCATCAGCTCACTGAATGGCCCAGTCTATCTCAGCTCCCTTGTTATACAGAGAACATTAACACAATAATACCAAATGTATTGGACAAAGTCTAAATACTTTCTTGATAAAATGTCCATCCATTTCCAAACATACATAAATTTAGATTTAAAGTCTCTATGTATAAAATTCCAGTATACCTTAGGATGCAGCAAGCTAGCAGAGCTTCACTTCTGTTGCGGAAGGCATTCTTACAGTCCACTGTATAAAAGTGGATATTACCAAACTGGGCAAAAGCCACAGACTGAAGAGCTCAGCCTTCTTTGCTGAGAGCAGAGCTGGTGGGAACACAGGCAGGGCTGCAAAGGGTGGAACCCACTCATCCAGAGTGGGTTTTGCTAATAGGCTACTTGAAAAATTCATTGAACTTGAAATTAACCGATCAGGTTTCCCAAGCAAAGATCACGTGGGTACTAAAGCAGAGATGGAAACCACTGTGTTATCTCACCCTAGGACTTGCAACTGGAGTACACTATTCGACCATGAATGGCTGAACTCCCCACAGCGCCACTCCGAAAACGTGGAGATGATCAGGTTTACACTGAGATGCCTGGAAGATATACAGGACTCCCATGAGATCTGTGGCTTCGGCTACTCCTGGTTTTTCTTTTTTCTTTTTTTTCAATTCAAAATAATAATGACCTCATGGCCACATGTGTGCATGATTAAAAACATCTCCAACCCAGATGCCAGGAATAGTCAAACAGTATAAAGGAAGCACCGCATTCTTAGGTATTAGAATCAAGAGATGCGAAAGGGTCCGAGAAAATGAGTGTTTCAAATAATTCCATGTTAGTGTTGCAAAGGATGTACCCGTAACTATCTGTTGGCTATGACAAAAATTGTCTCTGTGAGTTGTGTGAGTATCTTGATCATTAAAATGCCCCCTTTGAAACCAGTCACCCCATGATTAATATTCCTGTTTTCATGGTACTCTAAGAATTCACTGCCATTAGGTCCCTTAAAAGTACTTGATTATAATTCTAACTAAATAACCTAACAGGAGCCTTTTCTTGACTTTTCATTTTTAAGGAGTAAAAGATTAAGAAAGTAAACGAGAATTCTATTGTATTTAAAAAATTTTTATCCTGATTTATTTTCCTATTAAATTTATCTATGGCTTCAAAATTTAAGTGGCACTTACTTGGATTCTAGGTGTTTTCACAATTTAACAAGTTTCCACCTCATTAGAAAGAGAAAAGGAAATGTTTGATTTTCTGTGTGGGACACTTTATAAATAGCTGAAAGAAGTCAACAATCTATGTCTTTCACCTCACTTGTATCTTCCACTATTTTAGGCTTTAAAAGTAGCTTTGGAATTAGCATATTTTCAAACTGAACAAGAAAGTAACATTTACACCTATTCAGGAACTAGCTGCTGCATACGCAGGTATTAATTTAGTAATGGTGAAAATCTCATGGCTTCTCTGCCTCTCTCAACCTCTTAATCCAAAGCTAAGTGAGTCTCCTCTTCTGCTCTTGCCTTTGCACTTGTGCACTTTAATGACTAGATATTAAAACTCATGCTTTATAAGCAAAATCTTTCACTTACAGACACTTAAAGGTACATAAAAAGTGCAGACTGTATTTCTTCTCTGCCATGCTTCTCCTCAGCAAGGTCACCTGTGAGGACTCAAAACACACCCTTAATACACTCAGTTCTCCGCATTCCAGCCAGCAAATGCTAATTCTCCAACATAAACTTAAGAGGGAATAGGCAGCCACAAAATGGACTCTAGATTCAAAGTGGCAAAGGCTACCAAGACGATTTCAAAGAAACCCCACTGAAGTGGGACTGAAATTCAGGTCAATTCTGAGCAAAGCTCATTCACAGATATCTTGTGGTCGTTAAAAAGGTATTTCATTTGAATTTGGATGCTGGGAGCCAGATGTCCTGTTTCGAGGTGCTAACGCCAAATGCTAACCCAGGAGACACAACCCCACCAAGGGGACCGCAGGGCTCACTCCTTCTCCAGAGGCAGCTCGCGGTTTTACTGCTGACTGACCCCCATTTGGGGGTGGTCCGCCTCAGGCTCCTCCTCTTCCACGTCCGCACTGTACTCTTCAAAGGCATCATCATCTGCATCTGGAAGCCCCAGTAACTACAGGGAGAGAAGAAGAGAAACAGCTGTGAGCGTGAGCTGGACCACAGGCAGAAAGACAAGGGGCATTATATCCAAATTCCAAGGCCCTTGACAGGATTTACCGCAACTATGATTTCCTGGGAGGTTCAATTCCTCTTCCATTATTTTTATAAACTTTCTATTGGGAGCCTAGAGAATCTCCATTTTGAAGTATCAAAGCACAGAACCACATATCGCACCTGCTCGGGGATATGGTATTTGTGTACGCACGCATCTGGGATGTTGGTGGGAGCCTTTGAGGAACAGTGCTGACGTGCTACCACCATGTCCTCAAACCTCAGCCTTCCGGGAGGGTAAGGGAGGAACTGATCAAAAGCTCAAGCCCAGTCTGGGCGATTACTGAGACCCTATCTCAAAGCAAAGAATAAAATAAGGGCTGGGGACATACCATAGTTTAAAGGCCCTAGTTTCAATCACCAGTAACACAGAAAAAACAAGTCAAGAATCTATCTCCTATTTATTTTCTCCCTTAAAAATATGTTGCTACTAACAAGAACACATTTATTAAAATGTTTATTTTATTATTTGCTTTAGTGAGACAGGGTCTTGCTGTAAGTGGTTTGGGCTGGCCTTAAACTGACCACGTAGTCCAGGCTGGCTAGCCTCAAAGTCATGGCCGTCATCCTGACTCAGCCTCCCAAGTGCTGGGATTATAGATGTGTGCCCCTACACCTGGCCATATCAAAATGTTGGAAGAACTAAATGTTCAACAGCAAATGGTTAAATAAATTATGGTGCATCAGTAACAGAATCACATGTGTCCACTTAAAATGGCATTTAAAAATTATTTAGTGATACAAAACATAGGCAAATAAGTATAAAAAGGCACAGTAAAACTGCATTTCCGATAACACTTGGGATTTTCTTAAAATTAAAACATAGAGGCCAGCTGCAGTGGCAGAGAAGGATCACAAGTTCAAAGCCAGCCTAGGAAACTCAGCAAGATTCTGTCTCAAACTAAAAATTTAAAGGGCTGGCGATACGGCTCCATGACAGAGTATTTATCTAGCACGCAAGAAGCCTTGGATTCAACCCCTAGCACCAAACACACACACACACACACACACACACACACACACGCATGCACGCATGCATGTACATATATGCACGCACGCACACACTTCAGTGAGATATAGTCCAAATGTTAAAGAGTTTGCTTTTTTTTTACATTGTGGAGTTGTGGACTTTTTTAAAAAATCTTTTTGTATGCTCACCAGGCATAGCTCAGTGGCTTAAACACTTGCCTGCTAAGCGGAAGATCATGAATTTGATCCCCAGACCAAAAAATAAATTAATTAAATTTAATTAAATTTTTAAAAATGTGGAAAATCTTTTTGTATGCTCCAAATGTTCTATAACTACAATCAGTAAATTCATGATAATCATTTTTTAAAGGCACTGACAGTCTTTGGTTAGAAACTGAGGGTCCTTAGCTAGGCCTGATCATTATGAATTCTAGAGCTGGCAGGAGGGGGACTCTTGGGCTTATCAGGGGTAATCGGCTGCTAGTGGCCAAAGAACTCCCACACAGGGGTCTGTGCTGATCAATTTTAGGCCAATTCACTGAGTGCTCTAATAACCCAAATGCTAAATATGTTAGAGCTGACGGGTCTGTTTCCTTTGCATTATCTCTCTATTGTCTCCACCTCACCCCAACTGCTCCAACAGGAAAGAGCAAGCAGGTCCAGTCAATAATGCCTGAACCCTCAAGTCCTAGAACAGCAACGCCCACAGGTCCCACAGACCAGACACAGCCAACCGCAGACACGTGCTGTGCCCTGGGAGCTCAGAGACACGGTCAGCAGGCAGCGGAGGCCAGAAAAGTGTGCCCCACGCACTGGACAGCCTTCTGTGTTTCAGAGAAAGACATAAGCTCCTCTTTTGTTATCACTGTCTGCCTTTCAGACTTTAGTGTATGGAAAAAAGAGAGAATTTGCCTTCAGTGAGAGAAAAAAGATGGCTGGTCACAATGAAGGCCACCCACCTGATCACAGTGGTCAAGTTTTATTTGAAGAGCTGCTTGAGAATACAGAAAAGTGGCAGGGCCAAGTGAGTGACCAAGTTTAAGCAGCTGGTAAACCAAAACCACTGCCACCATCGCCAGGAACTCTAGGGCCAACCAAACACCAAACCAAGAAACAGAGATTGAACAGTCACTCGTCGTAGTTGTTCAGTGTCCTGAAGGGACAGCAGGTTTCTTCTCGCTGCACAGATCAGCTGTAGAGGCTGCTTGGAGGCTGGGTTCATAAAGTTAGGTGGGAAACATAAGGTCAGGCAGCAAGGACTGCCAGGGGTAAGGCAGGCTCAGGAGAGGTCACATCTACGCATCTGTCAGCCTTGTCCTACACGGACACGCCACCAATGACTTCTCCATAGCATACCCAGGTGACTGGCACTGACCTGTATCATCGACAGGGCACTCACCACCCTGACCACCCTGGTTTAGTGGGACTCTGAAAGGGAGATGAGGCCATTACCACCTCCCTGCCCTTCTCCTAACTTGCTACCTTATTTACCATCTACCACAGTGAAGGGCTGCAGGGTACCAGCCACAGCGACGCCTTCCTTCTGCAGGGAAGATTTCTGACTGACTGCTCTCTCCGGAGTTGCTCTCTCCCTGTGCCTTGGGGGATGGGGAGAAACGGTTTTCAATGACTTTCTGCTGCAGAGTCTGCAGATCCCTTGAGAAGTGGGGAGAAGAATACACTGGACACGGGGGTCCAACACCATGGCCCCATAAACAGCTGGTATTTGCTTCTGCCAAGCTACCACCTCTGCTGAGCCTCTGCATCCTCCTCTATTAAAGAGGAACCATGACACCTGTTCTGCCTCACAGAGGCGCTCTGGAGCTCCAAGGAGAGCGTGAACTTAAAGGAGAAAGTTTGCAAACTGCCTGGCCTTTGGAAAGGCATCTAGTTAGGTCACCTTGCTTCGCACAGTCAGATCAGCCCCTCAGGGAGTCCCTGCTGCCTCTGTAGCCAGCCTCCAGCAGGGCTCTCTGCTCTCTCTGGCTGTACTTGCTCAAGGATGCCCCTTGCTGTGAATTAGGCAGCTCTTCTTTCTCAGTCTGGGAAGTGAGATGAACCTCTCTCCATCAGCTTCTTCCTTTGACTTCCAGGCTTCATTCAGCCGGACAATTTCACCATGCTCCAGGTATCACGGTAACAGTTAACAGTATTAACTTACTCTGCTGGGCACTTGCTCTCTGTGGGGAAGGTGCTATTACATTCCCCCTTACAGGTTAGAATGGAGTCAATATTCAAACCTGTGCAATCTGACTGTGCAGTTCACACCTAACTATCAGGTCACCTATCTGTCAATGCTATGTCTATTCTACTAGGAAAAACAGGTTTTAAAAGTGTTTATAGTGTTCCTGCCTACATTTATGAGCAGATGTACAATCTGGAAGCATATATAGACAGGGAAAAATAGCGGAACAAGAATTTGCCTGGGAGTGTAAGAGTATCATACAGCTGTAATCTAGCACTATAGTATTCCTACCTATGTCCCATTCCCATCTGTGGCAGGCAAATCTTGTGGGTGTTGGGGAGGAAGACAGTGAATGTGAGGTCTTTCCTGAGCTATACATCCAGCCCTTTTTATTTTTATTTTGAGATAAGGTCTCCTTAAGTTACTACACTGCCCAGACTAAACTCAAACTTGCGATTATCCTGCCTTAGCCTCCCAGTGTGCTGGGCTGACAGGTGTGTACAAGCAAGCCTGGCTCTAAATTTAACTTCTAAAGAAAGGTTTGTGCCAATACTGTTTGGACAATTAAATGCCTATATCTTGTACCCTAAGTAACTAATTTAAAGATAACAATACGAAATGCACTAACCATTGTTACCCTCTAATTATCATTTTGAAATTTTGCCTTTAGAATAAAATTTTTAAAAAATTTAACTTCTAGATCCACATGTTACACAATCAAGGTCTACAAGAGACCAGAGGACAGAAAGACTGTAAGGATCCTGGAGTCCTCACTTTCACTACACCAACACATTCTTATTACATGAAGAAGGAAACGGGACAAAACATCTGACATGCCTGGTATGTTTAAATGATTCCCGACAGTTACAGCCATTCATTCCTATTTCAGGGAATTCTATTAGCTGACTGAGAAAACAGAAGTTTCTGCTCACTCTGAACAAAAATGTCAGCATTTCCCAGGGCTGCAAAGCTTTCTAGAAATAACCTAGAGTCACACAACAATCACACACAGAGCCAGACTTTAAAAAGCTTCTAATACCCAAGAAATGAAGTCCTTTAGGCCCAGAAAGCAGTTACCTGTGCGGCTAGCTCAAGTACTCTGGCCAATGGCATGAACTGAGAGGCCATTTGTGACTGGCATTGCGGATTGGTATCTGCATAAAAGGGGAGGCTGAGTGGTGCCACCCTGGAGAGCACAATGCGTGGCCTCTGGCTGCAGAGGGGCCTGGGGTCTCACAGGTATGTGCCTTCCAGGGGTTCCCTGAAGCAGCATTTGTTGTATGTGTGATTCACACAGAGTCTACCTACAATGAATCTCCTGACTTGGAGTATCTCAGAGGGGACCTGCCTCTAGATTTCTAACAAGGTCCCGGGTGACAGAGACACTGCCAACCACATCCTGAGTGGTGGGACTCGAAGGGAATTTGAAACCATTTATCTTAACTGTCCACAGTGCTGGTGGTACCAAGAAAGCCACAAGGGAGTCCTGGCCAGCCAGTCTGTCTTCTTGACACAAGGATGAAAGAGGGAGGGGGGAGGACAGGAGTAGGAGAAAAACGGGCAAGAGTCGTAGCTGCTCGCTTACTTCAGGAGCTACGATCTTTCCTAAAACAACACAGATTTGAATGCTTATAACATGGACAGAAAACCAAAGCCATGAAACGTTAAATTTCCCCACTCCCAATCTGCTCATTCATTTTCACATGTGTCCATCTTCTTTTCTCATCAGACTTTCTGGGACAGCTCTACACTGGTGGCTCCTTCTCAGGCAACCCCAAACACCAGTCTTGTTCACCTCGGGGAGCTGAAATCAGGGGGATTTGCCTGGCCGAGGCATTCCCTGAGAGAAGGAGCAGAGTTACACAGCAACCCCAAAGAAAAGCACTGGGCCATTGAGCATGAGAAGCCTCAGGTACCTCAGTACCTAAATCCAGCTGGGCTCTCACCACAACACTGACCAAAGCAGCATAAACACTGTCACAGGCCCCCCTGTCATGGGGGCCTCAGGATTCTCATGTCCACAGCACTTAAGGAAAGGGGAGGAGGATGACACACAGCAGGAAAGCAGTGGTCCCTGGTCACACTCACACAACTCAAGTCGATTTGAAAGGGCAAAGATACAGAATTTTGCAGCAAAATTGGAAAAAATAGGCTTTTTCTTCTCCTGTGAACTGTTTATTTGCCAGGAGTCAGCCTGGAAGTCATCACTAAATAACAGATATGAAAACACTAAGCAGAAAATAAATGACATGATCACCATTATTGACAGCCATAACCACTGTTTCATTATTTAGTTCAATCATGTGATGGTCACCACCTGTCAACTGAGGGTCCCTTAAGTAAGAAAAATGTAGGGTTTAGTGACTGTCCAATTGGCGTGCACCAGTTACTCATGGGTGTTCTGAAGCCATTAAGGGACACAGTGCCTGCCAGGGGATGGCAACAGCCTGTGTGGCACTGTCATCTGCATCCATGTACCACTAGGACATGTCATGCCAGCGCAAGAGGAAAGGAGTAGGTAAGAATCAGACCTTCTGAATGATGCTTCAGGTGAGGGAAGAGGCCCTGGAGCAGCGTGGGGGTGGGGTCGCTGTAGGATGGAAGATTGTCTACTCCTGCCAAAAAGCACCACCCATGAGCCAGAAACCAAGTCCAGCCTCATCAGGGAGGCTGCACTGTGACAATCAGCTGCGTTCTGAGTCTCATTCCAAAGTTCCCCATGAATCCACAAGGCAGTGGATTTTAAAGGTGGGAATGTGGAGGCTGGCAACCTGCAAGAGGCCACACGGCAGGGGAGGACAGAGCTCCTGTTCCACCTTCCTCCACCGGGCACATCTCTGAGGACTCTTGAGCTGAGGGAGAGCCTTCCTGGCCCTTCTCTGGTTAGTCCCTCTTATGTTTTGAGTGTGTCTGCAGTGGAACCTCTCTGCAAGATGCACCAGGCTCCCCAACGCAGCCTCCCTCTGACGTCTTAGCACTTCTAACGCCACTATACACGACATGACTTATGCACAGTTCAATGTATCTTCTGATTATGTGATGATCATAGAAAAGTTAGGAAATATGGAAAAGATTTTATCACCCATAACCCTGAAGCTATCTGGTTAATGCTCATGGTAGGAGACAGGAACCCCCATGCACCCTCCTCGGAGTCTTTGAAAATAACAGACGGAGTTGATTAGATTAGGTACCAATGACTGCCCACTGTTCTGCTATCCACAGTTCCTGCCCCTCCAAAAACTCTTCAAAATATCTCATATTAGAGGTCTCTGGTAAGCATGTATTGAAATCACTCAGCAAATTGTTTTCTTTCTCCACCAAAAATTTAAAGTTACCACAGAAGCCTATGTTTGAACTAAGGCTTGCTCGCTTCCCTGCAGTGTCCTGCCTGGTGCTTCCGCCCCACCAACATCAGTTTATCTATTTAGTGCCTACCATACAAACCAAAGGTGACTGGTATCATTAGTTTCCTACATTTACAAATGAAGACATGGAGAGACAGGAAGGGCAGGCACCTTGTCTGAGTCCCACAGCCAGCTAGGGGCAGAATGGCGATTTGAACCCCAGCAGCACCAGATCCTGATCCCGCATAACTCGGCAAAAAGAGCACAAGCGATACTCTACATGGACCTGCTCAAAACTTCCTCTCAGAAGTACTTCCCCAAGGAATGGAAAGCGGAATGAACTGAGCGAGAGGTGGTATTGCATCTCTTGCCCTGCCCACGAAACACCTGGACCAACGCAGTGCTCAGCCTGTAGCTGGGGCCATCCTGTGTGGCTCTGGTGGCTCTCCCAGTCCTGGTCAGCTCCCTGAGGACAATGACTGGACATGCTGTGCCTCCCCTAAACCCTCCAGGCAATACTTCAGCAATAGCAGAATTACATGTTGTACTAGAATGTTGCGAAATACAAGGAAAATAAAAGGAGTAGGATGGTTAAAAGGATGATTATTATAATTTGTATTTCTTTTAAAATCCAACAGTAGGTTCTTGGGAAGGGTGGTACTGACTATTTCTGCGAGGTCATTCAGGCAGGGAAAGGGGTGCAGTGTACACTCTAGGACAATAATGGTGACTCTTTTAGAGCTTTTAATGACACGAACAGCCTGCTATGGAACAGGTGCCCTAGGTTTGCCAACACTGGTGTAGGAGGGGCGGATGTCAACAGACCGAGTACTAGTTAGCATAGCCTTGGCCTTGGCGGGAGATCACTGAGGAAGGCTTGGGCAAGAGTCTGCTCTTCTGCCTTGGAATGTAGAATACCTGAGCTTCAGCAAAGGTGAGTCGACAGGCCTGACTGAGGAGGCCATACCAGGCAGCAGAAGTCTGTCAACTGACAGGTTCCCATCTCTCCGGAGAGATGCACAGGGCAGAGGATGCAAGGGGGTGCCCCTAGAAAAGCAGGGCATTAGAGCTCAGGATCCGCTGTTGTAAGAGACAGAGACGGACAGAGCAGCAGCTGCCCAAACTGACCCAAAACTACCCAGCTCCGGGAAGTGCTATGCTGGTCTTACCTGCTCCAGCCCCCACAGCTTGGGGTCAGTGCTTCTTTACACAGACTTTCAACTATGACAACAGCAGCAAACCCTCTTCTGTCTTATTTCAGAAACCCAAAGTTCACTTTTATGAAACTTAGCACACTGGGACAAAGAGTGCTATTCGTGAAGATGGAGCAGGTCGAGTTTCTGACTCTGCTTCCCATTCAGTCTGGGGCACATCCTGCCGGAGAGAAACCAAAGCCACACACACCCGCTCTACACTAGCTGAGAGGGGCCACTTGCCAGCCTTTCCTTGAGAGCAAAGAGGCCCAGATAAGAGCTCCCCATTAGTAGGGGGCACCACAACTGCTCCAGGCCTCTACGTCTTGGAGCAACATCCCCACACCTTGGGCGTGATGCAGGGCTACATTCTGCTAGTGAAACCAGCCCAGTACCAGAGAGTCAAAACTGGTCTCCATGACACATATGACTTCATGTGAAGGAAAATAACCAACCCGACTACTTTCAGCTGCACCTAATAAATTTTTTTTAGACTGCAGTTTTTCCCTGTTTACATGCAGCTGCCTAGTTGCTGAACTACCACACACTTAGTAAAGGATGAACTCTGGTGTGTGCCTGCCTTCCCAAGGCAATTATGCACAGGCTTTGATGGCTAGCACCAACAACATCAGCACAGAGAAAAACCAGGGGAGGGGGATGTGCACCTGGGAGGCAACCAGCTGCTAAGTGAACAGTTTGCTGACTGATACTTTTCTCTAGTTAAGATTTGGAAGGATCAATTTTTAAAAATTTTTGTGTAATTTGACAACTTACAACTTTGATATTTAATAGGAATTTCAAACAATGACATGTCCAAAACTGATCTCAGCTGGTATCCATATTCAGATCTCTCCTCCTGCAGCCTTCCCCATCAGTCGATGACTATGCAATTCCTTCCACTGCTCAGGCAAGAAATGGTGGTGTCATCCTTGCCTTCCCTCTTTTTTTCAATCCCCCTTCCAATCCACCAGCAAGCCTAGCTGGGTGGGTCTACTTTCAAGACACCTGGCATGTTTGGAGAAGCACAAGCCTTAAGCTGATGAAGGTAGAATCAGACTGACAGGCTCCCGAGTTCTGGAAGGAACTAACAACAATCTTCTCTGGAGGATGATGCTGTCATCTTAGGCCACCATGTATTCCTATGCATATACTTTCAAATACACTCACCTGCACACAAAAGATATTGACACGCAAAGAAACAAAGCACCAAGAGTGAGAAGCAGCAGACACAAAAGTTGCCAACCAGACTGACAGACCTTGAGATACTGGAATGTCAGACACAGGGTATTATGCAACCAGGCTTACTGCGTTCAGAGAGCTAAAAGACAAGCTTGACAATTTCAGCAGAGAAGTCAATAGCATTTAAAGTGACTGGGAAAATAAACAGAAATTCTACAGCAAACATGTGCAGCCATTCCAGTGAGAAAACTGAAAGTGGGGGAACATTATGACATTGGTAATCTGACTTTATCTTCCAATGAAGAGAAAGGAAAATAAGGGTGAATACACATTTTCTATGTTTATCTGCAAGCATGAACACCAGGCTGTCAGCTAGCCACAGACAGAATGATTTCTAAATCCCACGAGGCAGAGGAAAAAAGCAAGCTCTGTAAAAGAGACTTTGTAAGAAGAGAAACGGACAGAACCAGTATCCAGTTTCATCCTCCTTTATGCCTGCAAACACGGCAGTAACAACCTTCCCAAAGCAGGCTTCCAGCTCTGCGGTTTCAAGTCTACAGAGTACTCCATTATCTCATAGAGGATCTGTGTGCTCCTGCCCTATCAGGGATTCTCAGCTGAACTCAAGTGATGCTAGAAATAAGCATCATCCCTGCGACAAACAGCTGTGTCACATCCTGTCCCCCTTCCTCCTTCCCACCCTCAGCCTCCCTACTCTGGTTGCTATCTTTGCACACAGGGTAGACAAAAGAAAAACAATTAGTCATCAGGGGCTTTGCCCACTTTCCCCACCATCCCCTTTATTTAAAACACAATCACTGCAAAGAAGCAAGCAGGCTTTAGAAGCCAAGCAGGCACCTACAGGTCTGAAGGACTTGAAGACTTTTTCCAAGACTTCATGGAGCGTCTTCTTGCCGCAGGAGGAGATGTAATCCTGCGCTAGCTGTAAGAAAGGCAGGCAGTCCTCGCTCTCACTCCACACGTGCTGTGCGCCCAGGTCAGGTGGAGAGAAAACAGAGAAGCACAGGTCATCATCCTCAGTGGAAGTCACAGAACCACACACAGACTTTTAGCGAATTACATGCATTTGGAGACAGCGTCTGTTTCAGAGTCAAGTTCACACATTTTTCCTTCCTTTCATCTCCAGCACCAATCCCGGGCCTCACCCATGCTGGGCAACTGCTTTACCACTGAACCACGGCGCCAGGCCTTTCCATTTTTTATTTTGAGACTTCTCATTAGATTGCCCAGGCTGTTTCCAAACTTAGGATCCTCCTGCCTCAGCCTCTTAAGTAGCTGAGAACAAGCGTGCTCCCCTGTCCTGGCCTCATTCCTGACAGTTTGCATGGAAGTGGATCAGAAAATGTCTAGCTCACCCATCCCGGTTCTTACGCTCACCTGCTCCGTTTGCCATCTGCTCACAGTAGTAAAGAGGGCAGCAGACACTTAGTCCTCACCCACAGTTTTACTGCTCACCTTCTCTGGCAGGCTAAGGATGTTTTTAAAATAAAAGAGGAGAAACCAGGGCCTTTGCTTTCAAGTTCCTCCATTTTGCCTTCGGCTATGGGTACAGGATTAATTAGGCGTAGTTTATAACCATGAACTTGGAACAAGATGTTCTTTACCCAGATCAGCCTGTGAATGAGGATGGTGGTAAATTTACTTCAAGATGAAATGAACTTAGGGAAAAATGCAAAATATTCACCAAGTTACTAGGACCCAGGGGCTTTCTAAAAGCTTTCTTTCCCTCTCCATGCTGGAAGAGGGTATTCCACCCAATCACCACTCAACTGCCCAACACGCAGAGAGGCCATTTCCAATTTTATTTTGTTCTAAAGTCTGGGAAGGGGTTTTTTGCCATATGAGAGTATCTGTTTCAACACATTTGAGAGGAAGCAAGGCTCTCCCATAAATGCTCAAGGATCTGGAATAAGCCCAAGAAACAGGCTTAAGATCTGGAAGTGGAAGTCTAGGCTCTGCAAAGCTGGGCCAAGTGGGGCACATCGCTACAGCATAACAGGGTATCTGTAAGGTGCCACAGACCTGTCTCAAGGGCACCAATGAGGACAGCTCAACACGGGTGAGCCAGCGTTAAGGCCTGGGAGAAGAAAGACATCTGGCAGACTGGAGCAAGACACATGGGCTAGACAGCAGGAGACAAGATCTATTTGGAGAAATGGTCCATGTCAAGTGCACGCTGGCTCCCTTCCATTCATACAAATGATCAGCACAACACCCTACAAAGTTCTACGCCTGTCACTCAATAAACACATTTCATTGCCTTCCTTCTCACTGTGTGATTTCCAAGAACCAGAACTGTAGACTTAAAATACTGCTCAGATCCAAGTGTGAGTAACTAGGTGCTCATGTGCCATCTTCACACCCCAATCATCCATTTCATGTTGTAAAGGTCCACTTCTGACATCTGCTGCTCTAATCCAGCAGACTTCTCCAGGGCGTCCTCCTCGACCTGATGAAACCAATGACTAGGGCCCTCTAGCTTAGAGAACTCTTCCTTATTAATCAGAGACCCTAAAAGCCACCACGGCATTGAAATGTCACTTACATAACAGTCTCTTACACTGCACAAAAGTCTAATAGTACGAAGTACTTTTATATCCATTATCTCGCTTGATTCTTAATGGAGATTCAGCAAAAACAACAAAGTCCTATTTAATAATCTCTGCTTAGTCTTTTTTCACATTCAACTTCATCAAGTTCCAGATTATTTCGAATTAACATTAAAGATGGAAGTAACATCTAGCAGCACACAACTTTAAGCCTGCCCTCCTTTGACTTACGGTGGCGACAGAGAGATTTAAGTTTACTTAGTGCTTGGCTGGGTCCAAACCTGGTACCCTCAGTAAGTGACAGACATGGTGCCTCCTTTTCCCTTTGCTATTGCAGGAAGAAGAGGGAGAAGGGCCAAGCTGGGCTCCCACTTGGCACAAAGCTAAAGTCACCCAGTGAGTAAACCAGACAAGCAGCTTCACTCAGAATACTGTCCAGGTCATCTTGAGTGGCAGTTAATTCCAAAGTGGGTAGATTTATGAAATACTTGCATACTTACTTTTTAAAAGTATATGTGGGCTTTAAGTCACAAAGTAAACAGAAGAGTTCTCACTTAATAACAGATCTGCAATGCATGCATTACCTCTTGGGACCCATTTATTTAGTTGTTTCTAGGCATCTCTAATCTCTTGAAGATTATTCATGCCACGACTCCACGACTCTTAGAACTGTTCATTTATAAATATTTGTTGCAGAAGAGAGATTAAACACTCACTAAAGTGTTTTTGTCCAGTCTTGCTTTATTTGGCTGTCTACCTCCCCCTGGATTCCCAGTTGTGTTGGTTTTGTGTGTTTGAACTTGTGTCCACATGATAAAGTAGGGGAAAAGCGACTTGGGGTCAGACAGACGCAGGTGGTCATGGCCACTTAAAAGACACCACATACTACCTGTTAATTGTTCTATATCCATCAGATGTCACAGCAAATAGTTATTTTAACTACTTTCTAAAATTAAGGCAGCTTGCAAGGAGTCACAGTATATAAGACAAACTGAAAATGGTCATCAGGTGGGAGAAAAGAACAAAAGAAAGATAAAAGAAGGAAAAGAAAATAAAACCAAGAGTGAAAAGAGGACAAACAGAGCAATATGTAAGAGCCTGGCCACTCACTGCAGGCATGAAAGCTCTCCTAGCAGCCCACGCAAAGAAAGCACACTGCCTCCTGTCAGCGCCCACAGATAAAACAGAGGGACTCTGGGAACATCACCAGGCACAGGGCAGAGGGAGGACAATTACTTTGCTAGGAAGACAGTCCAGGGCAGGGCTGATGCCCCTGAAAGCAGGATTTGGGGCCTAACCTCAGTCAAAGAGAACTCGGCACTTGAAGACCCAGAATCCTGGCCCATGAATGACTTCCAGGACATATAACCAAATGTCACTTAGGTCAGAAAAAAAAAAAAAACAGGAATCAGGGAAACTGTGGTTTTGCAGAATGCCACACCCCGCCAAACAATCAAGGTGCAAAATGCACTGACTTTTCAATAGGACAGCTAGAGCAAAGGCACACTGTACACACGGAGAGGCCTCAAGTGGAAGACAGCAAGGGTCTGCAGCTTCAGAGTGGATGTGAATCGACCGCCAAGGGGTTATCAAACACAGATGGCTGGGTCTACCCCAAGTTCCCATCCAAAGAGTTCACATCTGCAAAGTGCCTAGAATAGTGCCTGATATAGAGTGAGTTGGACAATTAAGTGCTAGCTGTCCTTCAAAACTGTATTCTTACACTTTAACAACTGTCTTCTCCAACAGACTCACTGATCATTCATTCATTCATTCTCACAAAAATATAGAGTAACTATAACTGTAACTTATCTAACACTGCAAGGTGCTGGGATACAGTAATAAAATAGACCAGGTCTCTTCTCCATGGAGCTTACAGTCTAACAGAGGCAAAAAAACAAAGAAACAAAGATACAATGACAGCAACAACAAACAGACAAAAAGAACTCAGTCTGATGAGGCTATGGTAAGAATAGAAGCAGCTAAGGCGAGAAAGGTAAAGTCAGGAAGCTATGTCCAAGGCCTGAATGCCATAAAGGAGCAAGCTACGTAAACAGCTGGGGCAACAATGTTCTGGACAAAAAGTTCAGCAAGTGCAAAGGCCCTGCAGCAGGAATAAGCTTGACATGTGAGCAAGCAGGGAGAATGGTCAAGATGAAGTCATTTATGTGCGGGGTTGAAATCAAGGGCGGTGGGTTGGGTTTTACCACAAAAGGGATGGGAAATCAGCTTAGGTAAAGACAGTAGATGACCTGACAATTGCCACCATCACTATTTTTATTATAAATTTTATGTAGGTCAAGATCATATTTTAAATAGCTTCAAAGTGACTGCTGGGGGGGAGACTGGCTAAGGGTGGAGGTGAAGATCTTAAGTTTAGGAGAGAAGATAAAAAAATGACAGTGGCTTAGACTGTGACAGTATGGGGGTGGCGAAAAATAAGCAGATGCTGCATGGATTCCGAAGGTGATTCTAGCAGATTGCTATGAGTCAGATGCGGGGAAGGGGAAAGGGTGGTGTTAAGCATGTCCCTTAGATTTTTGGCTTGAGTAACTAGATGGACAGTGGTCACATTTACAGAGATAATGAGATGGGCTACTAGGTATTGAGTGCTTAGTACAAATGAGGCACTGTTCTCAAGCAACCCTGCCAGATATGCCCTAAGGTCACCACCCCCACTTCACTGAACTCTACTGACCCTGCTAGGAAGGTGGCAGATGTAGAACTGTGACACAGAGGGGTTAAATGACTTCCCCAGGGCACACGGTGAGGAGTGGGGAGCTGGGGGGTCTGACCAGGGCCTGGGTTCCTGACCACAATGCCACACAATCTCTTAGTGGGGTAAAATGACACAGGAACATGAATGTTACTCGTATGCCACATAGCCTTGACCCAGCACTGAGTAAGTCCTCAACAAATGTTTGCCAAATTAATGAATGCTAAGTAAATCTTATTGTTAAGAAATCTTAATGGGCATAGTGGCACACACCTGTATTCACAACTACTCAGGAAGCCGAGGCAGAAGGGTGGCAAGTTTGAGCCCAGCCTGGCCAACTTAGTGACCTGGCAAGACCCCATCTCAAAATATGAAAACATAACAAGCATTGAGGAAGTAGCTCAGTGCGAAGGCCCTGGGGTTAATCCCAGTAACAAACAAAGGAAATCTTTCAAATAATAAAGATTCCACTCAACTCAGATTTCTTCTAAAGCTTAACAGATTTTCTTGGGAAAAGAAAAACCACCAAGGTAGGACATTTATTAGAGGCAAACAGCACCTTGACACACTTAGCCTGGGACAGATTCAAGATGAGGTCTGACCAAGAGAACTGCCACAATTGGCATCTTATGGCTATTATGGCCTCTGGAAACTTTGGGAAAAGTCTAGGTCTACCCAAAGACTTATTTTTCATCTGCGATCTTCCTTATCAATCCCCTCTGTCCTTTATCGTATCTATTATATTTAAATTGTCAACCCACACTCTGAATATGGGTGGCCTGACATAAACAAGGTTTCTGGATGGTGGTTTGAGATACACATTCCAGCAGAACAGCCTGTGTCTTCCTGTCCTACTCACTCTGGGGAGTCATTTCTAGGGGTACCTCCCCTGTGGTCCCAGCAGGAAGACTAGGAGGTGTGTACTCCATAAAATCTGGAACTATTAACAACTTGTCCTCTTGGCACAGCAGGGAGGGGGAAGGACCCTGACAGGCTAGGGCACACGAAGCTGGACAGGACTCTTAACTACACCCTAACACTGAATTAGTTAGACCATGCTGCCTTTTCCACTAGATTCCTGGGGCTCTCACACATTTGCAATGAGTGTGTCTCTTTAATGATCTTCCATTCCTCCCAATAACAACCCTCCTTTTGTGTTAACTGTTTACTTGGTTAGCAGGGGCACTCTAAGAAAACCCCATTTTACAGGTGAAAAAACTAAGGCCCTTAGTAACAAGCTCTAAACTCTAGGCAACACCAGGTGTTGGAATCCCAAATTTGTGAGGCCCTTGCTGTGTATAATGGACCCTGAGGTGCTTTATCTACACAATCACCAGGGCACTGTTATTATTAAGCTCATTTTGTGGATGTGGAAACTGCACTCTGGGGAAGGCATCTGGCCACAGTCACACAGCCAGAACTCAAGTCTGGCAGCCACCCAAAGCTATTCTTTTTCTAGTGTCTCAGAGCTAGGCTCGGGTGGGCTCATTTTCCACAAGAGGTGGGGTGGTGTAAGGGGCAGGCTTTCCTGGCCAAGCAAGCACAAGCCTTCTCCTCACCAGTCCAAGGAAGGTGTCTGACTCTTTGCAAACTTCCGTGGGTGGCAGGGTGGGCAGCCCGGGTTGTCTCACCCGCACCTGAGAAGCCCATCAGGCCGAGCCTTGGGCTGCCCCGCCTCAGTCTGCAAGGGCAGCAGCAGCGCTTGCTCCAGGCTCAGGCCTGCGACCACAAGGTAACCTGCGTCCACAGCCGACTCCATCTTACATTTGGGGACCATTATTTATTTCCCATGCTTACACTTTACTACGGAGTGCCAACCTCATCTGTTCTCCCCATCTCCAACCCCAACTCTTCTGCCCCCACCGCCCCTTCCTAAACAGTCAGCTCCAAAATTCCAGGTGGGCATAGGATACAAAATCGAACGTTTGGACACCGCAGTTCCTGGTTGTCCCCCCTCCCCCCTAGTAAAAGCCGAAAGACTCCAGGACGGCCGCAGCCGTCTCCAGGCTGGACGGAACCTGCTCCGGCCAAACACATCTCGCTGGTGGCTCAGAGAGGAGCAATGGGGGTTGGGGAACAGGGGGATGGGCGTGCCCGTGTGTGTGTGTGTGTGTGTGTGTGTGTGTGTGTGTGTGTGTGTGTGTGATATATGCGCACGCGCGCGTGCGTTTTTAAATTCTAGGGTGTAATTCCGCAAAAAGGTCCAGGGTATCAGGCATCCTTAGGATTGTCAGAGGCTTTGTGTCCAGACAGACAGTACAAGAAATAACACCGAGGGGCGCAAGGGGCAATCCCGGAGTTGTCTGCACCCCGGCGGAGCACAGGAGTCCTCGCCCGGACGGGACGCCTGGCGTAGGGAGCTCCGGACTTTTGAAGCTGCGGGTGGGTCCGAGCGCCCAGCCTTGGTGCAGGCGACGCGGGGCCACTCCAGGGTGCGCCCAGCCAGGCACCGCGCTGCGCCTGCGGGGTCGCGCTCCCGAATCCGCGTCCGCGGGGCGCGGAGGGTAGACTCGGGAGGACGCCACACCTCCCGCCCCAGCCCGGCTCGCGGGTCCTAGGGGCGCCCGGCTCCCCGCGCGTTCGACCCCACCCGGCTCCCGGCTCCCCGACGGGCAGGTCACGCCCCCACCCCCGCCCCGCCCAGGCGCCCCCGGGCTGCGCCCCCCTTCGCCCGCGCCGCGCCCCTCGCCGCACTCACGAAACTGTCGCCGCAGCCGTTGTCCGGACACAGCACGTAGAAGGAGACGCCGGGGTCGGCGTAGAAATCCATCCTGCGCTCGGTGTCCTCGGTGGCGATGAGCTCGAAGGGCGTGTTGGAGCACCATTGCTCCGCAGCGTCCGCCAGCTGCTGGAAATCCATCGCCGCGCCGGCGCCCGCGCCTCTCGCCTGCGCCTCGGCGGCGCGCTCCCCGGCGTGCGGGCGGCGGCTGGGCCGGGCGGCGGCCGGGCTCCCCCGGGTGCTGGCCTCGCCGGCGGGGACTGTTTACCCGCGGTGTGGAGCGCGGGCGGGCGGCGGCCAGGGACAGCGCGGCCCCGCGCCCGCGGCTCCTCCTCCGCCCCGCCCCCCCCGCCCCTCGGGCCGCCCGCGAGGCTGGCGCAGCGGGGCTGGGGCGCGGGGCGGCGCGCGGGGGCGGCGCGCGGGGTGGAGGCGGCTCCGCGGCAGGGCGACGCTCGCCCGGGCCCCTCTTTCACCCCTAGATTTGGCCCGGAACCCGGAGCATCCCAGGCCCCTCGCCGGCGCGGCACCGCCCCGAGACGTGACGTCACGAGTCTCGACCAATCCGCGGGGCCCGATCCCGCTCCGCAGCCCGCGAGCCCGATGACGTCACAGCGCGGGCCCCGCCTCCGCTGGTCGGGGGAAGTGGGGTGCTCTCCTAGCGCTCGCTTAGCATCTGTGTGGAGTTGGAGCTTGGAGAGCGTCTTCCTGTCCTAGACTTAGGTGCACGGAGCGCTCACAGAACCGCCGATAACTTGGATCTTGTATGCGTCTAGTGATGGAGAGGCTGAGATTATCTAAAGAAAACGGAGCTGTTCTTGCTAAAACCTAATTTCTGTCCCCGGATTAATGTAAAGCAATGTCTTCCCCTAACGGATTTATAAGACATCATTTGGAAACTGATTTTTGGGTGTTGCGCTGCATAAAGCCGAGGATTTTACAAATGAGCCTCCTACGACTAGCTTTAGTATTATTCAGCTTTAATTCATATGGCATAACTCAGAATGGTTAACTGTTGGTTTGGAAGAAGAGAAAGTTCTAGTTAAAACAGGAGCAAATGGCCGAAGCGTTGCACCTGTTGGATGGATGGTCCCTGGCTGTCAGGTACCCCGGCTGCCGTCAATGGGTTACAGTAAATGCTTTAGACACAGCCTTGGAGGCTGAATGACTGCCAGCCGATACTCACGTTAAATAGCATTTATTCTATAAACAACATTCAATAAGTGTTTATCTTTAAGATGTGACTCCTGGACCCGGCCCCTTTCTGTCCCTGAGGCTGTAGACGTGAGCAAGCAGGGGTCTCCACGCGGGCAACTCAGCCAAGGAATACTCGCCACGACCCCCCTGAATACAACCTTTATGCATTGGAATAGATGTAGTTCTGGAAAGGTGTCTGCTTTGCACATTAATAGGGAGGGAGTTCTACTCTTGCCTTCCCTTAGTAAATCCTTACTTTTTTTCTGGAAGAGGTAGATGGTAAGGGTGGTTATCAGCGCAAAGGCATCCTAAGCATTGCATCATTTCCCTTCTTTTTCTTATTGAGAGCTGTCCTTACCTAGAAGTGTATGCTCTGCAGAACAATTTCCTGGCCTCACTCCAAATTGTTTGAAACAATTTAGCTCTGTGAATAACAGGGGAGCATCTGGTGGATAGCAAACAAAGATGCACAAGGCTCTGTTTTTGCCGTCGAAGAATTTACAGACTGTAAATTAGGATTGTAAGACAGCGCCAGGATCCCTGGTCTCCCCCAGTGTACACACATATTTTCAAGCACTGATCTAGCTGCTGCTCTGAGGGATTTTGTAAATGTCACTAAGGTTTCAGATATGAACTATATTGTTTTTGGTAGGCTTTGCTAGTTGGGTGAGCCCTTCAGAGAATGGGCTCTTCAGGGGGAAGATTCCAAGCGCAAAGTGAATTCATCACCAGGGAATTTCTTCACTGATGGTTTCACTGCTGGAGAGGGCCACCTGGCAAGGACCAGCAAACAGAGATGTAGTGCTGAGAAAAATCGCAGCCAACCATCAGCAAGGAAACAGACTTCTATCTTAACCAGGGGAAGAACTGAATTCTGCCAGCAACCTACATGACCACAAGCAACTTTCCCCCCAAAACCCCCAGACTAGAACTGAGTCTGACTGATACGTGATTTTAGCCTGGCAAGACCTTGAGCAAAGAACCCAGTTATGCCACCTGCTGTGCCAGGGACTCCAAATGTCAGAACTTTGAGCCAGTAAATGGATGTTGTTTTAAGCTGCTAAGTTTGTTTAAATTTATTCTGCAGTAGTAGAAAACATAAGACAACGCAGGAGACCAGCACATGGATATAAAAATTCAGTATGTTGTTGTAAAGTTACAAAATGCCATGTTTTTAAAAATATAGGTACCTCAGGATAGCACACGCTCCCTTGACATTTTACCTGCTAATTAAAGCATAATACGTGTTAGTCTAGAAATTCAAAAAATGAAAAATTCCTTTTGAGATGAAAATATGTAAAACACACTGCTTTTCTCCGTTTTTTTTAAAAAAATGGGGAGTTAAGTTCATATGTTTAAAAATCTTATCTATTAAGTTGGTTCCAAGTGATGGATGACCATAATTATAAAGGTATGTTTAACAAATACATTTTGTCAGAAAAATTGGTCAGTAGAGGAGAGTGTGATTCAGCACAGTAGTTACAGAGGAGATGAAAGTACCCTACGCTCTGAGAAGCAGCACGGAAGAGAGCAGCCCTGGAAGGGTGTGAGCCATCCCAGCCCAGTGCACGCAGGAGCAGTGACCCAGGTGCAGGGCTGGATGGGGGAGCAGAGAGCAGACAGGCGTGTGGTGCTTATGCCAGTTTATGTTTCATTGTAAAAGGAGTGAAAAACAAAATTCAGAGACCAACAAAAACTTAAAAATCTATATAAATGAGTCACTGTGATTTACCCCAAATGCCCAGTAAAGCTCAGGAGAAGCATTTGTGTCAGCATCCCTACCCGCTGCCTGGGAAAAGTCAAACTCAATTTTGTTTCTGAATCTGCCAATATTAGTTTTTACAAATTATTTGTATATCCCTCCAAAATGCTTGAATATGGCATGCAATACATATTTTGGCTGTATTTGCCTTAAATCATGTCTGATTGACCAAATTTACCTAGTAAATATTTTCTTTTTATTTATGCCAAAGAAACAGAAGCATTCCCTTATGATTGGGTTTGTAAAATATTTCTACTTGGCCTTATTTTCAAAGAGGACAGTTTCTCATTCCACTATTTAAACCTCTACTCCTTCAGTAAAGTACACACAAAAAACTTCTCAGCAATGTTTCCTTTGTTGTGCTAAGAGGCAAACACAGACTTCAAAGTGGCAAACTCATTCTTTTAACATTTTCATTTGTTCCTTTTCTGATCCTAATTATGGTTCTGCCTCTATTTTACTGGACTTCTGAACCTTATTAGAACCCTGCTCCAGGAGCTCTCTGGAGAGATGTCCCAAGAGCATTACTGGAGAATTCCTGGGAGGATGTGGTATTTCCACTAAGAAATGGTGTGCAACCAGGTGATTTGCTAAAAGAAAAAAAAAAGTAACATCGTTCTATTAGGGACTTACCTGTTAGGACACATCCATTTAGACTGATGCCATGACCTGGACCCACCAGCATCTTGGGATGCGTGGCTCAAGGGTGTCTGTCATTAGCTGCAGTGATGGGACTGGAGCTGAGGGAAAGAGTACACTGGCATCAAATTTCACTGGCAGCACAGATGCATTTCAGTAATTTATTTCTTCTGAAGGTCCCCTCTTTTTGTCACTTTCTCATCACTGGGACAAGACATACAATGCCCACAAATTAAAGGATGAGAGGTTTGTTTTGGTCACATTTTCAACATGGTCACCTGGCTCCATGCTAGAAATGGTATGATGAAAGGGCCTAGGGGGAGAAAAGGTGCTCACATCATGGCAGCCAGGAAGCAGAGAGACAAGGGAGTAGTTGGGGAAGAGACATGGGAGATGCACTCTACCAGGTAATGCTCTCTGACAGCAAGACAGCTATGGTGCCCCATGATGCAATCACTTTCCAAAAACCCCAGTTTAGAGCACATGAGAGTTTTGGTGGTCATTCTTGATCTAAGCTGTAACATTTCACCCCAGCTCCCAAAAGAGTCATTTGGATCTCTTTATTCAAAATGTATTGCATTCATCTCTAAGAGATCCAAACTCTTAATAGTTCCAATTTTCTGAAAGGTCCTACTCCAGGGTCTTGAGACTCAAGACAAACTCTTAGCTGGGTGCTGGACTTTGCTCTATCTATTGAGATGATCATATGGGTTTTGTCCTTGGCTCTGTTAATATGGTGCATTACATTTATTGAGTTGCATATGTTTAATCATCTGTGCATCCCTGGGATGATCCTACTTGGTCATGGTGTATAATCCTTTACTGCATTGTGTTTGCCAGTATCTTGAGAATTTTTGCATGTATGTTCATTAGGGAGACTGGTCCGTAATTCCCTTAGTTGGGTCCTTCTCTAGTTTTGGTAGCAGGATAATGCTTGCTTCCAGGAACGAATTTAGGAGTATAGCTTCCTTTCAATTTCATTAAAGAGTTTGAGAATTAGTGGTGTTATGTCTTCTCTAAATTTCTTGTAGAATTCAGCAGTGAATCTGTCAGGGTCTGGGCTTTTCTTTGTTGGTTGGTTTTTAATTACATGTTCATTTTCATGATTATATTAGCTTATTTTCATATCTTCTTCCTTCAGTTTTGGTAATTCATATGTATCTAGGAATCTATTTCTTTGGTATTTTCCATCTTATTAGAATACAAGTTTTTGAAGTAGGTATAGATGACATTCTATGTTTCTGCAGGGTTTGTTGTGATTTCACCTTTTTCATTCCTAATTGCATGAATTTGAGTCTTTTATTTCCTTTTTTTTTTTTTTTGGATAAAGTTGGGTAAGGATTTGTCAATCTTATTTAATCTTTCCAAGAATCAATTCTTAAATTCATTGATTCTTTGTATTTTTTAAGCCTCCAGTGTGTTAATTAACCCTCTGATCTTTATAATTTCCTCCCTTTTATGGGCTTTTGGCTTAGTCTGCTCTTCTAGAAGTTTGAGGTTCATCATTAAGTTGTTTCTATGTACTTGCTCTGTTTTCCTGGGTAGGTACTGCTATAAATGTCCCTCTTAGGACTGCTTTCATTGTGTCTCATAAGTTCCAGTATGTTGTACTATCATTATCATTCAATTGTAAAAACTAATTTCTTATTTAATTTCATCTGTAATCCACTGGTTGTTCAGT